TATTTATTTTACTCCAAAAACTATTGACATGTTTCATCATCATTTAAATATTTATATAATTTTAAATCAAGGGAGGAAAGAGAATATTAAAAAAGACTTTGGTCTCTTTCAGATGAAAGTTTTCCTGTAAATCTTTGTCCTTTTTGCCCTCAGACAGTGTTTAGGATGATTTTTAGAGCTCTGATTGGGTCGGTCATCACACACTGGTGATATATGTTCTCCGCATTTGACCAACCTCTGGGGGAGCAGTGAGCTGCAGACACGGCTGTGCGCGGGTTTAACCCTCCAGCTAAACCCCTTAATGCTGAGTGTCAAGCAGGGAGGCATTGTGCCCCATTTTTAAGTCTTTGGTCCGACCGTGGATTTGAACCCGCGATCTCCCAGTCTCAGGACACACAGACCACTAGGGCACTGAGCTGGTTAGATGAGTGATGCAGGTGTGGCTGTTCTGATGTTCCCAGTGTTAAACAGCCTCAATTACATCTTTATGACCTTGGAGTTCTGGACGGGTTCACTGACCCTTTCTGTGTTTGGTTACATCATGGCCTGGGATTTCCTGCACTCCTCTTTTATAACTGAACACCTGGAATAATCATTATTTGAATATTTAGCTAAAACGGTGAAAGGAGCTTTTTTCTCTGAGGATCACAGCTGAGGAGCATCAGTACGGAAATGTGCTGGCTGCAGCAATCATACCGAAAAACTGAGCTTTTCTGTTTCAAAGGGAATCTAAACTAGCCAGTATCAAGTCAACAGCACAACAGATAAAGGGTTGTGTTGGGTGTGTTTGATTCATTCACCTGTGCATTTGTGTGTTATTTATTTATTTATTTATTTATTTGCAAAATCTTCATGGACCACTTCTGGATTCTAATGAAACTCTTCAAAACTAATGATTGGATGTTCATCCACGCGTAGCTGACTTTTGGAATTGAATACAAAAATGTCTGAGTCAGTTTTACAGACATTGAGCAGAAGTTTCCTTCACAACCCGAACTCCAAGTAAAGATATTTAAATGATTTAATATGGAGTCTTTAAGATTTGACTAAAACAGCTTTAACACCGTCATTTGTCAATCTGTGGCTAATCCGATGTGTGTCAATCTTTTGATTTATTTAAGGCTCAAACTTGAAGAACTGATCTTTAGTGTAAAACACATGAAATGACTAATATGTAATAAACATGAAAGCAGTCAGGTTTCCATCGTCTCTCCTGTCTGTCCTCGTGTCTCCAGGTGTGTCAGTATGTTGTGTCCGTGAATGGACTGAACGTCCTCTGCCACGACTACCGGACCGTCAGTAACCTGATCCTGACTGGACCCAGGACAATAGTGATGGAGGTGATGGAGGAGCTGCAGGTTTGACTTGGAGAACGTGGGTTTATGGTTCTTGAACTGGACGGATGGAAATGGACGACACGACTCCCTCTTTCCTGTTGAGATGAGGCGGATGTTGGAGGACCAGGCTGTCAGTGCCTCCACCTGTGAAGATGAGCATTTTACTTTTAAATGAAACAAGACGACATCTGTAATCCACCTTTTCTTTAAGTCATTCTTGAGGAGAAAACTCCAGTTTTATGGAGAAAACATCCGCAAATTCCTGGTTTGTGTTCTGGATCACGAGGTCGTGATAAAACAGGTCACAGAATCAGAAAGCTGAGAGGATAAAGTCAGCGATAAAACTGAACACATGAATGTTTCATGGAAACACGCAGTGACCTCTGCCCCAGTAAGGCAGCAGAACATCACCTGGGTTCATTTACTGCCCCACACTGCCCTCTACTGGACTTTACAGGAAGATGCACATTAGTATGTTTGCATCTATCTGAGGAAAAAAGATCATTCTGCTCCTGCTGTGTACCAAGTTAGCCCAGAACAGCTAGATGTGTGTTCAGCAGGCTCAAGTAAAAAAGCTAAGTGATTAGCATCATTTTTATGGCTTCATGTATATTCTTAGACAAAATAAATAAATAAATGAACACAAATCTAGGCTTTTAGCAGAAAATCTGATGATCAGACTGAAACATTCTGCTGCACCTCTAAGGAACTGGATTTAAACATTTTAGTTTAAGTAAAGAATCACACATTTATTCATCTATTGATGCAAAAATGGAATTTTTGATAATTCACATGAAAACTTAAGAAATGCAAAAATCATAATAATAAAGTCCAAAACTCTTAATTTAATTGTGTTAATTGAATTCTATTAGAAAACACGTGTTTTGCTTGTGTGTGTTAATAAGGACTAAATCAGCTTGAATAGATCAAATGTTGCATCATTTCCTGTTCAGTGGATCAGACTGGTGCCAAGCACACACGTTTATTCTTATTTCTATTAATAAATCATATTTTATTTAGCTTGGCCTTTGATGGACTCAAATATAATTAAAATTCCAGCAGAAGTCCCCATCAGAAAAGTTTTGATGAGTAATCTCCAAACTTTTGCATATTTCTTTGCAATTTCATTCAAAGATCCTTAAATAAAGTCAAAGTGTGAGGCCTTCATTTTAACATTATTTGTGCTGGGGTAGACCAATGTATCGGGCCGATATTTGCCCGGTATTTCCAGTGTGGGAATATTTTAAATATATTCCCACACAAGAGACTTCAACCGCTTCCTAGGTGGAAAGCGGGGGGTGGGGGTGGGGGGTGGGGTTTAACCTGAGCTAGTGGTCAAACCGGTTATCCCCGCAACCCTGCCGATGTTATGAGTGACATTTAAGTGTGGAAAAAAGGTGGAAAATGTCCTTAAAATTCAGCAGTACATATCGGCCATCAGCTGACCGGGTGTACTGCAAATCGGTATCGGCAATATAAAAACCGATATCAGTTGACCTTTAATAAGTGCTTAAACATGCTAACATGGAAGAATGTGTGAAGCATTTCTTACTGCTGGTCTAATTCCTATACGTGCTTGTTTGGAGTAAAACATCCGTGTGTTCATGTTTTAGTTCAGCCTGATAAGCTCTGAAATAATGTAGTGGAACAAATGCTGGACAGAAGAAAATACCAGATTTTCTACTCAGTAGCTTTAGGAATAAACTGTTAACGGAAAACTGTCTCCAGATTAGTCCAGTTTAGTTTTCTTCCTGTTGGCTGTCTTATTCAGAACAGCATGACTGCTGTAAACATGTTAGGTTTTATTTTTACCCCACAGACAGCTTTTCCTGGTTCTGTTGACTCGCTGGAGGGGAATATCAGACATTATTAATCAATTCAGGCTTTGTAACTGATAAATGACATATTTTCACAAATCTGTGAAGGCAAAGAAGAAATATCAGCAGATGAAGTGACAGTAATTATGTCTGCTGTAATTCTGTTAGTCTAGCTGATGGTTCCACTCAGTATGGGTTTGATGTTTCTGTGTTCGTTTATTAAACTCCATCTGTTCTGTGAGAAACTGACTCTGACAGCAGCTCTGGGACAGAAAGTGATAATTAGCAGAAAACAGAAACATGCAGAGTGTTGGCCTGTATGATGGGAGGGGTTGTGGTGCTGTGATGGCAGAAAACGGGCTTTTGACAGTTGAAATCATTTAGCCTTAAGTTCTTTAGCTGCTAATCATAGCTGTCGACCATTTGAACTTTGCATCAAAACTTCTGACTATCATCTTTATTTCAAGCAGAGATCACAGCGTAACCCATGCAGGTGTGATACTGGAGCTTACTGGTCGGAACAATCCAGTACGATCAGCCAGCTCTGAGCCAAACCCACCAGTTACATCAGGAGCACGTCAGCTTTTAGTTCCTGAAGACAACAAATCCACCCTGCCTTAAACCTGCTGTGTGGAACGGGCTTGTTTGAACCTGTAAATAGCACAGGGACGGTAAAGAATGTGACCACCACCATCGTCCATGTTGTACTGCTGTAGATTTTACAGTTTAGACGTTCATAACCAAAGGGACAAATGGCTCTCTGCTCGATGTGAGGCGAGACTTTTCAGGAGCTTTTCTCTGCTTTCAGGGACTGAATGTTGGGTTTCAGGTCATTATAAACTCAAAGGTTCAGCGTTCAAATGTATTAAAGTGTTCAGTGATTCTGAGTCTGTGGCTTCTTTTGTTAGGTCTCAGGTTTGTTTCCTCTGAGCAAAACCTCACCTTTGACCCCAGGTTGGGTTCTCACATTATTCCCGTGTGATTCACAGGAAATATAAAAGTCATTTTTTTTGTTTTACTATTTTTTCCTCATTAATACATTGCTGTGTGTGTGTGTGTGTGTGTGTGTGTGTGTGTGTGTGTGTAGAGGGGATGGGGGCATTACATTTTATGAAATGACACATATAGTCTGTCAGAGAAACAAAATAACATTAGAGCACATTTTATTTTCCAGAGTCAAAATTAATGCAATTTAGACCAAGAGACCATTAAAGGCTCAGGAGCCTTTTTAGGTGTTTACAACAATGCATTTTAGTTGACTGGGGTCTTGTTTCATATCACAAGTCCCTCTTTTCCATGAATCCTTACTGACTATTGTTTAGTGTTTCATATTTATAGTTAACACGTTTTCTAGCCTACATTTAAACAGTTTTCCAGGATTTTTGAACATTGTGGAAGGAGTGACACTGGCCTTAGTTGTAGATGTTTATTACCCTGCTTAAACCTTTTGGCTATTGCCTTTCAGAGGAAACCAGTTTGAAAGGATAAATTATTTATGTAAGTTAATGGTTTTAGAATACCACCAATAACCCTTTAAACCAACAATACCATCACAGTCAGTGGAGGCTGTTGTTACAATGATCAACAATTTATTTAACCTCCAGCTCATCTGAGGAAGATGCGGTCAGGGAGATGTTTTTATTAATGCTTCATTCATTATCTTAAAAAAATAAAAAAAGTAAAAATAAATAAATAAATGTTTCATCTCGTTTCCTTGGTCAGATATTTGCTGCCAGCTCTGGTCCCACATTCACATAAAATCATTTCAGTCCATGAAAAACATGCGCAAAATTTTTTGTTTGTATCTATTTTCAATAAAGTTTAAGTTTTCAAGCAACGTCATCATCAAGCGACGCCAATGTTATTGCTTTCAAATAAGACCGGTAAGTCGTTTTTTCCTGTGAAGCTTTCAGTATTTACGAGCAGAAAACAACCATTTAGTATTAATGTTGCCATTTAGTTTCGTGTCAGGTTATTTTCTCATCATCACACTATATTAGTTAGCTTTTCTTACGTGAACTCTGGCCGAATGTCATCGTTTTAGAAAATCAAACATGCTAACTCTCAGGGTCAGCTTTTATTTGTGTTGCACCGATTGTAGAGGAAAAACATTAGCAGCAACATTTAGCTTCTAATAAAATGATTAAAATACAATTTAGAATCTGGACACACACGCGCGCGCATGTATACACGCACGCATGCGCACGCGCGCGCACACAGACACGTACATAAAAGGATGAAGCTGGTGCTCATCTTCACTAGGTGAGTTCATAGATCAAAGGACAGCAGTTGATGACATCACTCTTGGTTGCCACAGACACCAAAGAACAGCATTCGTCAGATCTCAGAGACAAGTCTGTATCTCACAAACACTCGTGACTCCATTCGATACATACTGTTTCTCCTCAGTTTTCTGACTGTTTGGGACAGATAGTTGAGAATTTTGTCACAGTTTTCTCTTCAAACCCGTCAATATTTCACACGTCTTAAAGATGGAGACCACACAAAGTCTTTCTTGGTTTGAAATCATAGAACGAGGAGTTGAGGTCAATTATGATGAAATAATTGACTTTTCTCCCAACACAGAGGTTCAGGTCAGTGAGGTCAACCCAAAAGCCTCACTGCCTACTAACTGTGGAACTCAGGGCACAGATCAGCAGGAATCTGGTGAAAAGCTCCAAAAACCTGCTTGTAGTCAGGATATTCGTTCCCAGTACTACAGAAGAGAGACAAACCAGTACCAGGCTTCTGTCAGTACTCAGGATATTCGTTCCCAGTACTATAGAAGAGAGACAAACCAGTACCAGCCTTCTGTCAGTACTCAGGATATTCGTTCCCAGTACTACAGAAGAGAGACAAACCAGTACCAGCCTTCTGTCAGTACTCAGGATATTCGTTCCAAGTACTACAGAAGAGAGACAAATCAGTACCAGCCTTCTGTCAGTACTCAGGATATTCGTTCCCAGTACTACCGAAGAGAGACAAACCAGTACCAGCCTTCTGTCAGTACTCAGGATATTCGTTCCCAGTACTACCGAAGAGAGACAAACCAGTACCAGCCTTCTGTCAGTACTCAGGATATTTGTTCCCAGTACTATAGAAGAGAGACAAACCAGTACCAGCCTTCTGTCAGTACTCAGGATATTCGTTCCCAGTACTATAGAAGAGAGACAAACCAGTACCAGCCTTCTGTCAGTACTCAGGATATTCGTTCCCAGTACTACCGAAGAGAGACAAACCAGTACCAGCCTTCTGTCAGTACTCAGGATATTCGTTCCCAGTACTATAGAAGAGAGACAAACCAGTACCAGCCTTCTGTCAGTACTCAGGATATTCGTTCCCAGTACTATAGAAGAGAGACAAACCAGTACCAGCCTTCTGTCAGTACTCAGGATATTCGTTCCCAGTACTATAGAAGAGAGACAAACCAGTACCAGCCTTCTGTCAGTACTCAGGATATTCGTTCCCAGTACTACCGAAGAGAGACAAACCAGTACCAGCCTTCTGTCAGTACTCAGGATATTCGTTCCCAGTACTACCGAAGAGAGACAAACCAGTACCAGCCTTCTGTCAGTACTCAGAATATTCGTTCCCAGTACTATAGAAGAGAGACAAACCAGTACCAGCCTTCTGTCAGTACTCAGGATATTCGTTCCCAGTACTATAGAAGAGAGACAAACCAGTACCAGCCTTCTGTCAGTACTCAGGATATTCGTTCCCAGTACTATAGAAGAGAGACAAACCAGTACCAGCCTTCTGTCAGTACTCAGGATATTCGTTCCCAGTACTACCGAAGGGAGACAAACCAGTACCAGCCTTCTGTCAGTACTCAGGATATTCGTTCCCAGTACTACCGAAGAGAGACAAACCAGTGCCAGCCTTCTGTCAGTACTCAGGATATTCGTTCCCAGTACTACCGAAGAGAGACAAACCAGTACCAGCCTTCTGTCAGTACTCAGGATATTCGTTCCCAGTACTACAGAAGAGAGACAAACCAGTACCAGCCTTCTGTCAGTACTCAGGATATTCGTTCCCAGTACTACCGAAGAGAGACAAACCAGTACCAGCCTTCTGTCAGTACTCAGGATATTCGTTCCCAGTACTACAGAAGAGAGACAAACCAGTACCAGGCTCCTGTCAGTACTCAGGATATTCGTTCCCAGTACTATAGAAGAGAGACAAACCAGTACCAGCCTTCTGTCAGTACTCAGGATATTCGTTCCCAGTACTATAGAAGAGAGACAAACCAGTACCAGCCTTCTGTCAGTACTCAGGATATTCGTTCCCAGTACTATAGAAGAGAGACAAACCAGTACCAGCCTTCTGTCAGTACTCAGGATATTCGT